ATATATATATATATATATATATATATATATATATATATATATATATATATATATATATATATATATATATATATATATATATATATATATATATATGGTAAAAGGATAACTACAGTATTTTCTTGCGGGACACAGTGGGTAATCCTGAGCGGGCAAGAAAGTGCCATCTTGCCCACAAGGGTAGCCAATTACAGCTTTGTCAGTTTTCGGTTCATCTTGCCCACTCACAGAGTTAGCTAGATATTTATTTAATTAAATAAAACATATATGTCCTATATAGGTCCCTATTGGAGAAATACAGTACCGGTCAGACATGCTCTTGTTTTTCTTTTTTTGCCAGGCCATGGACTGAGCTACATGTATATTTTTTCAACTGTAATTTATGTCTCTTTTTTATTATTTTTATTTATTTATTTTTTTAGATGTTCCGTCAGACAAGCCATCTCCAGAAAAGGTATTACTGACACTAGAGCACATATTCATATGCACAATTAAACCAGAGATGATTTTATTAGTCTGATTTTCTTGGATACAGGTGTAACTTAAGGTGCATTCCTTTGGGATGATCCAGATTAGGATCAATGATCCAAGATCCCAAAGAAATTAATGCACTCTTAGAACTTCTCTCCTCTTCTTTCATAATTTTTCCAGGGAAACAAATTTGAGTTTAAGGACGACTGGGGTGAACAGCTTGTTTCCAAGTGCACGCCTGTGCTTGTTGTCTTTGATTTAACAAGTGAGGAAATCAAAGTGATGGATGGTGTACCTGATCACTTGTCTGCAGGACAGGTGAGGAGAACAGTTTGCTTACTCTGATGTTACCTAGTGTTAGCAATGTAGAGGGTGCAATGAATGCGATTAGGATGCTCTCTACACATATTGCAAGGCTACGATACTGTTGTAGGCATGTGCAGTGTGCAGAGATTACAGTTACCGAGGGTTCGATATCCATAGTCACAGAGGGCTTTGTAGTTGTATGCCCTTGAATTGATAAACTGTTGTTAATGTTTATCTGCACGCATTGCAAACCTTTGATATTATTATAGGCATGCAATGCGTACACAGAATGCCACATCTAGAGAGGTTCTTGTACCGATAACCTAAATTGATTCATGTTTGTTTACAAGCATTGAAAGCCATATGGTCCTAAGTTTATTTAATATTCAAGATTTAAATGACATTTGTTTTTACCAAACTTTAATTGATTAGAATTTAATTTGTTTTTACAAGTTATAATAATTGTTTTTACATATAACATTATATATAGTCATCTTATAGAACAGATTGAGGTTTTTTAAGAGTTAACAATGGGATGTGCTTATTGTCTTTTCCAGGCATGTTGGGGTCCAGATGACGGCAGTGTTGTGTTCATAGGTTGGTTTCATGAACCATACAGACTTGGTCTTATCTACTGTCCAATCAGAAAGTAAGGACAATTTGATCTATTCATTCACATAGTGACAATCACCAGTTTACTTGACCAGCCAGTTGGATGTGTAGATGAATTCTTAATATGTATTTATTTAATATTAATTGGATAGAAGATATATATGACATGGCGGTGGAAAGATATGAATTTATATTTGAGCGATAAATACAATATTCTATGAACGAAGACAGCGAGTGAAAATAAAATGCATATCTCCAAGCCAGTATGTAATTTTCTTTTTATTATACAGACAAATTGAGTGCTTGCACAAACAACCATGAAATAGTGTCATCAGTATCTAAGGATGTGCAGTGGCCTCATGGTTAGTGCGCTCGACCCCAGAGCGAGTGGTCTAAGTACGAGCCCTTTCCGTGGACATTGTGTTGTGTTCTTGGGCAAACCACTTTACGCTGAGCCTCACAGTGCCTTTCTCCACCCAGGCATATAAATGGGTACCAGCGAATTTAATGCTGGGGGGTAACCTTGCGATAGACTAGCATCCCATCCAGGGGGGAGTAGAAATACTCCTAGTCGCTTCATGCTACTGAAATGGGGATAAGCTCTGGCCAGATAGTTCACTAGTAAGGCTATAGAAAAACCACCCTTGGGTTGTAGATGTAGAATTTTATGATTGGTGTATTTTCCAACTAACTATGGTGTGCAAGATCTCAACCAGCTGTGGAAGTGTGGTATTTAGTTCAAAGGAAGGTTAATACATGTTCATTCTGTGTTCAGGGCTTAAGTGCTATCATTAAGTTTTGAGTCACCTGTAACTTTGATCTTCATACCCATAACAAACTTGTTACTTTGTGGGTGTCAATTGTATCAATGAAAGGCAATTTCATCCGTAACATCAAGGGCCTATCAAGCATATTTAGCTGTAACAGATGTTACAGGTTACAGCCCTTTATGGCAGCCCTGGTACCATACTTTATCTTTCTTCTTTTTTCTTGTTTTCTTCCCAGGAGTGCTTTGTTTTCTCTCTCACTAGATGGACAACATCTTGGTAAGCATGATGTTTTGTTGTTGTTGTTGTTGTTGTTGTTGTTGTTTCCAGAGTGCTAGTAACTCACTAATTACTGTTTTTAATAATCCATCTTATTTTGATCACTATAAACCAAGTTACATGGCAGTAGTGCATGCTCTCATAGTGGCCTGCATCATGAATAATATTGCATTATTTATCAAGTTCTAATGCATGTGGTTGCAGGCCTGTGTCACGTGTCAAGTTTGATATAATTGACCCTTTCAGTGCCAGTTCCTCGTACTGATAGCCATACTATATATAGTTATTTCAATGAAAGTTTGATAATTTTGTAGAACTTTTAACTAATTATTAATACAATATCACTTTGTTGATGATTTTCTTAATTCTTGTCACCATTCTGCTTGACAACATATTGTCATTGTAACAAGAAATTAGACTTTCATCACTCCTTTGTTTCAAAGGGGTTTTTTTTTGGCAGCAGTTGGTAATTTTCAACGGCTGAAGCATTCTGTTCTTTCTCAAAGTCTATGTATTTCTCTCAATATTGTTGGATTTACAGTATCCCATTCTTAGGATTATTAACCACTCAAGGAGAGTAAACACTGCTTTTATTTATACGTTTGTTTCAATCCAGAACAACTGAGTGACGTAAAATATGCCGTGCATTCACCCCGCTTCAATCACGACAAAGAAAAGTTGGTAAGCTGTTTCGTTTTTGGTTGTTTTTGTTTTTTTAGCGCATATAACATTTGGTACCATATTATTTTTACAGTCAACATACGTTTATTTTTTCGCTATGAGTTATTTTCTTCTATTTTGATATTTCCCCAGCCCCAACCCCTTCCGCTTTAGCGCGCTTATCCCACGCGCAGGGTTAATATTTTGCTAAGCTTGCGATCTCGACAAATTCAAGACATAAAATAAATGGTCTGAAGACCGACTATATCATTTTTAATTAGTTCTCATATTTCCAGTTGAGATACCAACTTATCGTATAAATAAATGCACGCATGTTAGGACTATTTTTACTTATGAACTGTTGCTAAAGCTCTAAATAAATTTTAATGCCATTTCCTTATCTAGATTTACATTGCCTTGGATGTTGGTGGAGCGCATTGTAAATGCGGGAGACTGATGCAGGTTCGTATAGTCACAAGCTGAACTTCACTGAATCTTTCGGTCTCGAGTGGTTTTCGAGAGAAGAACGATCCCTTCAAAGCTCGCTTTTTAGTTTAATCTAAAGGCTTCTAGTTCAGAGTAAGGGATCGTTCATTTTTTATGAGGGAGGGGGGGCTGGTGGGATTTGGGAAGCACCGTTTAAAAATCGCATGACCCCCCCTCAGCTTACCAATTTTTTCACATGGCCCCTCCTTATAGCGGTCATTTTTTGGGATGACCCCCCCCCCCNTGAAAAAGAAACGCACGGCTTGAAAAATCGAAAATGGCTTTATTTGCTGCTTTCTTTGACTCTTTGTAGATTTTTTACATTATACGCTGTTTTATGGTGTAACAAAAAGCTCGAAACGTTGCCAAACTTGGGAATTTCGGAGTGGTCCGTAACCAGGGTCCGGATAGGATAATCAGGACCGCTGGAGCGCGCGCGATTAGCCAATCAGATTCAAGGATATGGGGTTCCGGATCGCTTAGATGCTAGAGAAAAATAATAAATTAAATCTTTGGCCTCTTTGGTACGGTGGTGATGAACAATTTGATCAACATAGTGGATTTTTGTCAGTCCTGGTAGAGTTTCTCTTAAAAACCTGTGAACAACAAGGTTTCACCAGGTCTGTTACAGAGATATTATCATCCTTCACACCATGCCTATTGCTTTCTGCCTGGCTGGCATGATTTTCTCCAAAATTCAGATTAGGATTTATAATTAATGGTAATTAATTGTTAGTTGGTACTAAGTACTTCTAATAACGGAGGAAGGGAAAGGGGAGGTAGGGGGGAGAGGGTTTACCACTGGCAGTCACAAGTCTGTGCCCCCTGCCCGCCTGCAATTATTCGACAGTTCCCCTCCCACTTGCTTGCTAACTAGATTGTTAATCTCTTTCATTGCAGTATGACTGGACAACGAAGGCAACCTCCATAATCACTGATGTTGTGGACATTCCAGAAAGTGAGCTTATTATTTTCGCTTTGAACATTTATTTTCGCTGCCATTGAGTTCAAAGATCATTGGCCGAAGAGCATTTTCTGCGCGTCATTATCTGTTGCCGCTTGCAAAATACTTTAACCAATCAGGGCAGAGATGATTTGTTCTCAACCAATCAGGTACAAACAATGACTGGACTTAGTGAACTTTTCCCGCGCCTAACTGCTACACTGTTTGCTTTTTGCCCTCTGATTGGTTGATTGAAATTCTTAGTGCTGTGCTGATTGACGCTTGGATAGCTTTTAATTGGGTTAGTTCTCCGTGTCGTCAAAGAACATTTTCAGTGTTCAAAG